TCATATCTAATTAATTTAGTCTAGCTAGTGAGTGATGTAAACATTGTCAAGTATTTTAATAGATTACTCAATGATCAGGTGTCTAAATGTTATTGTTTACAGGTAAGTTAAGTGGTTAATCTGTAGTAAAGATAAAGCCACTGGTTAATCAAGGATACGTAGAAAGAACAATATTATAGCCATTAGTAGCGGAGTCAAATAAGGGGAGATTAAAAGATGATAACTCAATTAAAACAATTTAACCATTAGTAGCTGTTATAGGGTGTTAATATAGAAAGAGATCAAGGGGGAGACAACTAAAAGAACAATATAACTATTAGCAGTAATTAACCTGTATTTTGAGTAATTATCAACCTGTAGCTGTATATATATAAGATACATGTTTCACTTGGATCATCCATTCATCTTACCATCTGTTTAATATAGAATTCTCTGATCCACAGGGCTTCTGTAAAAAAGGAAGAAACGATAACGTATATAGGTATAAGTAAAACAATTATTTTCAGTTTTAGATAAAATATTCTTTATATGTATTTATCCCGAATGACTGGTCTATCATGTTTGATATGACATAATGATTTAATTTAAAAGGAGTAAAATACGTTTTGTATATTTTATCCTGAAACTATTTAAATAACAAACTTGAAGATGTGAATTAATGATAGAAAGTTGTATATAAATTATATAAACTCCTTTTGACTGGTGTCAGAAGTTTCATATAACCATACAAATATCTGAATAAAGGGGGTTAAATCTGTTCATCTTCTCAGCGCTTTTTAATGCAATTCCATAACATGTGTTTGATTAAATGTAGCCCAGAATAAATTAATTCAGCACATTCTGGGCGAAACTTATCTTATAGCTAAAAATAGGAAATTCTTTTGGTATGTAAAGATATTTTATCTACATTGATAATATGTTTGTATATTAGAGAATTTCTGATGTAATAAGTTGGGTAGTCTAGTAAAGGGAGACAATCTGGTATTTTTTATGGATATTTATTTATATTGATATATATTGTTATATTATAGAATGTCTACCACGAGTATTACTGATATAGAAGAAGTTGTTAAAATCTGGGCATGGAATGTATTTGTTGCTACTAGAAGTAAAGATCTAAAGAATTTAAAACTAGATGATGTTGTATTGGATGTAAAATGGGATAAAGTCAGATTTTTACATGGACGACCAGATTATAAAGAACAAAGAAAATTAGATAAACCCAATTCACAGGTAGGATTGTTAAAATTAGGAGTATAAATAAAAAAAACAAAACAACACCAAGCAATAAAAAACCCCACTTACTTATATATTAGAAAACCTTGCCAAAGAAATCATGGCAAATGTGTGGTCAAATAGTCGAACACGTGGGTTTTATATTAAAAGGTTGTCATTGAGGCAAGTAGCCTGGTTTCCATTCCACGTACATCGCCTGTTTAACCATCGTGCTGCTAAAGATCCCTACACGCAAACAAATTATTCAAATAAAAATTGTAGCACATTCTGTCGTCAATCTGTATTTGTTTTTTAAATTTTTTTGATATTATTTAGCAGTATTGTCATGAGAAATTGTATCTAAATTAATTCTCATAATCGGATGTCTTTCGAATTTTATGTTAAAACTTGCTGGAGAACACCAAATGAAAAATCATTTTGTCACAACAGTTTTACGCTGGCACTGAAAACTTGCCAACGATTAATTAAGATGTTGGATTGAGTATCCTTGGTTGCCAGGCAACTAATTCAGTGTTTTGTATTTTCAGGTTGTATTCAGATCAACTTATGAGAACTGGACAGATAATGATCAAGAACATTCCTTCCAGACTGAAAGAACTACAGTCTCTAGTTGTACTACAGAAGTATCCAAGGGTTTCACTAAAGGTTTTCATCTAGAGGTCAAATTGGGTCTTCCAGAAGAAGTTGCTGGGGCAACGGCAGGTTTCGGTCGCGAGGTTAATATGGGATCGACGGAGGAAAGCACGAGAGAGGAATCTATGACGTGGTCGATTAATAGCACCATCAAAGTGCCACCAAAACACACGACAACTGCTGAACTTGTAGTACGTGAACAAGAATTGAACGCTAGTTTTAATATGAACGTCAATATTAAAGGACGTGTTTTAGTTGTTGTAACAAATCTTAAAGACAATAATTCATTCGTTCAATCTATTGAAGGAGATTTCAGTGATATATTAAAGAAATATAGAGATGATAATAATAATAAAAATTATATCATTGAAAATAAATGTGTAAAATGGCAGCTAGAGGGTACATGTCATTTTAGATTTGGTATTGAACAATTTGTTAGATTACGTGAAAACCCCTTAGTGAAGATTAACAAATTGGCGCTTACATGAAAATGAAAATTAATTTGTAAGCATTTGGTATTGAACAACGAAAGCCCGTTATGTGATAACTAAAAAAAATATTTGTCAGATTAAGCGAAAACCCCTTAGTGAAGATTAACAAAATTATTTTGTCAGGAGATAAAATCGCACGTATTTGGTATTGAACAGTGAAAGCCCGTTATGTGATAACTTAAAAAAATATTTGTAGAGTTGAAATTAAAATCGCATGATTCCAAATTGAAATGAAATCGTTGAAATATGTGTATTTGAGAGGGGTATAAACAGCTAAATCTATTAATATGATTCCGTATTAGGATATTTCGGTTGAATGAAATGTACCAACTAATGACATCTCACACCTAGCATATCTAGGAGCAGACGTGGGGATGGGGATGGATCGGGTGGCAGTTGACATTTTCGGTCGGTCTATTGGAAAGAAATGTAGAAGGATACCGGACGACGTCTGATACCATTTCACAATTCTGTGAAAACACTGGATTTTGAAAACATGCCGTGTTTTTGACGAGTGTGCACTGATCGTACTGTACATACCACTTTCTTTATTACAAGAAAAACTTTGTTTTACAAAATGTTTGTTGAAATTGTTTATATGATTTGTATATAAGAATATTTGTTACTATTTTTGTTATGGTGGAAAAAATAAAATTATCATATTTAATGATCATTCTTCATAATTTATTGACTTTAAATTAAATATTGTTGACCTGCCCATATTAAAGATGCACCAGTAAGATTTAGATAAAGAGCTGTCCCTGTTTGCTATAATAGTTCAAAAATAGATAATGCAAAATGAAGATAATAGCTTTTGAGAGTTTGACAAAATGTGTGCACTGATTGTATCCACCATGGGGGGGGGGGGCTCATGGATCCAGGACCAGAGGCAACCGGTACTACGATCCGTCCCTTGAATCTTGAATATGAATTAAATATATTGCTCAAAATATAAACAATCGTGTATATTCTACTTTAATGAATGAATAAAATGGAGGTTATCCACCTATTTTTTTGCTTAATCAGGCCTAATAAAGTGTGCTATGAGATGCATTTTGTCCAGACAGTAATTGAATTCCAACTGTCAAAGATACTTGTACGCTAGTTCCTTTCGAAACTGTCTGTGATCGGACGATTTCCGCTGACAGTTCTTATCCGTCCCTATATAGCTGCAATATACTGGAACCCTTACCTTCTATTTTTCACCGTAATTCTTTATATTTCGCCAAAACGAATCGTTTCTTACCATATCTGACACAAATTGATAATAATGCAATATTATTTTTAAATAGAATTTAGCGATTAATTAAACACGCGGTCTGACTGATGAGTTCAAACGTATTTTGTGTATGTTTTTAAACTCAAATTTCTACTTGAAAATAGTGTTGAATTATTATAAATGTGTGTCGGCTGTGACAAGAAATGATTCCTTTGGCGAACAAAGACGAATCATGGTGAAAAATAGTCGGTAAGGATGCAAAATAGACATAGGCGGGGAAGAGCGATATTCTTATATTGCAGCTATTTAGGGACGGATAGGAACTGTCAGCGGACATCGTCCGAACAAAGACAGTTCCTAAAGGAACTACGCGTACATGCACACCACGCTGCACGCTATTGATTAACAAAAACAGCAATTAATCTCAAATTAACCTTTAATGAATAAATGATTTTCTGATTGAGTATTTCCAATCGATACGATATCACTGATCAGACAAATTTTACTTAAAGAGACATTAGGTAAGATTAGATGAAGAGCTGACAGTTCTCGCTAGTTTAAAAAAATAGATAATGAACAGAGAATATTCTGAAAATTTCTTCACCCTGAACCTAGATATTAGCGATTCAATATTAGGCTAGCCTCGATCGTCATTAGGCCTGTTACTATTGTTACGATAATAAACAAAGTCTCGATTATCCATTTTTAGGGTTATTTCATCCACAACAAAACGTACCCAAATACACTAAATATCGCAGGCTATAACGACGCATCGATGGTGTTGATAAGTTAATTAATGTCTAATTAATAATTTAGATAACATTCAAGGTCTAAAGAGAGAGAGAGAGGGAGGTCATCTGGGATTTCCGGCGTGGTTCGCACTTGTCAGTGGTGCAGGACAGGGAGAGAGAGAGAGAGAGAGAGAGAGAGAGAGAGATGGGTTTAACGTCCACTCGACACAAACTAGATCATTTCGGGACTAACACGTTGTTCAATTTTATTTCAATAATTCGCTTGCGCGTAGGGGTATTTAGCAGTGGGAGGAAACCGGAGGACCCGGAGAAACCCCACAAGGTTGGACAGGCGACCCTACTCCTTGACACGTACAACCGGGAAATCGAAACCACGCCAGTTGACTCAATGACAGACCTTTTTTTTACAACGCGCACGTGCTAACCATTCGGCCACCCAACCCCCTAAAGGCCTAAAGAAAGACCTGCAATAGACAGATTTGCATACGGAAAATTTAATGATTTATGTAGGTAATTGCATTAATTAGTAAGTAATTTTAAAGTTGATTACACAATCATATACATAATTAATATATCACATACCCCGAGTATTTGATTGACAGACACGAGAGCGCGAGACATTATTCACGCGCGTAATATTTTATATCACATGACTACATTAGCCAATCGCCTTCTCCTCATTTCAGCAGTATTGGAATACTGACTATTGGCTGTTAAAAGTGGACGAGCCGTCTAACTGTGCGGATTTATATCTTTACCATAAATTAAGGATAATATTGATTTTTAACACGATATTCAGGTATGTTTATTTTTAATGTATATTTAAATATTTTCTTGGAACTAAAATATTTATAAAATTCCCTACTAAATTAGAAAATTAATAAGGAAATTTGGACAAGGAAAAAGACCTGGGCATATATTTATTATTTCCTCGTCTGGTTAGCAGACCTACTTATTTGCAATTTGTTTCAATAATTACGATAAAAGATACATAATTTTACAAATGTTCTCCTTTTCAACAGAAATTTAAAAATAATTAACCGAAAAACGCTTGAACAATAGCCCGAAAATAAAAAGAATTTGGAAAATGCCTGATAGAAAATGGCGTCTAATGAAATTTTCGGGCGTTTTCAGTCGACAATAATGAACTACGTGTCGAAACTCGAACAAATATTTACTTTACATACAACACTACTTACTAAGAAATTGAATTCCTTTGACCAAATATGGAATAATATAGTTTACTTAATGCATTATCCATTTTTCTTGTTTCGACATGTTGTATGAAAAATAATATCCAAAATGGAGAGGGTTTTGTCCACTTGTTGAAATTACAGTGGGTTGATTATGTAAATATAATTATTGTATTGAAAATTTTACACTCGCTTTATGATAGTATTTTTAATAGCTAAATGATCTTTATAAAGATATTGTGCAATAGAAAATGATATATAAACGATGTACAGGAGTCAAGCGCTTATATTTGCCTTCGCTGTCGATCGGCCATTTTGGTAAATCCATAGTTTCTTAAAAACAACCGGCATTGATGCCAATTTAATGCTATGCAATTCCGATACAATGCTTTCAACAGAAATATTGTTCTATACATATTTATTTCTAGTAGAGATACCAAGTAAATTAAAATAAATCATTGGATATGCTATAAATTTATTTCATGTTCTCTAGTCCAATGCAGCTGAAACGAGTTTTGTTTTACGCATGCCCCACTTAGAGAATATGGGATGCACTGCTTGTCTGTTAAATCCATTATCAGATTGATCATAGTAGTGACATTCCCTTCTTTATACTTTACTATTCGTGAAATGTAATCAGGTTGAACGTCCTACTTTTCTGCACCAACCGGGATAATGAAGACGGGTTTTACTATCCGTCTATACATTATTATAGTGACATTCCCTTTTCTATACTTTACTATTCGTGAAATGTAATCAGGTTGAACGTCCTACTTTTCTGCACCAACCGGGATAATGAAGACGGGTTTTACTATTCGTCTATACATTATTATAGTGACATTCCCTTTTCTATACTTTACTATTCTTGAAATGAAATGAAATGAGGTTTAACGTCCTACTTTTCTGCACCAACCCTGATAATGAAAACGAACTTTACTATTCGTCTATATATTATTATAAGTGAATTAAAAATTCCGCTCGTGGGTTTATAACGGGTGGTGTGTACGGGGCAGGGTATACCCACCCCTTTCCGGAACACCTGATACCACCTGACATTGAGATCACATATCCGACGGATGTTGTCTTGGTGTGTGTTCACATTGACAAAACAGTTTTAGTTACAGGAGTATTATTCAGTAGAAACAAGTAAATATGCTGGTTTTATCAAATGTTGCCCTTGGCTCTGTTCTCTATCTCTGGTTAAACCCGTTAAACTTGTCTCAATCATTTAGAGTAGCTTTTAGCCATTTTGAATTAATCTACTCATTTTAACCAAACGACAGTATTATCTGCACTAAAGAAATGTGTAGGTCTACATTCGACCTCAGTGTTACGTTCCATCCGAACGACTAGACCCTGTTCCTTGCCAGGTATTGTCAATCCTCTAAATACTACCAAATTGGTGGTTATCCTAAAACATTGTATGTAAAGTTCATGATCCAAATGAAAGTTGTAGTAGAACTTATAGGTATGAGAAATTGTATATTCCTGCCATACTAAAGCATGATAAGGAATAAGTAAGTTGGTATATCAGTACCTGCCGCTGGTTTCCAAATCAAATAATAAAGTAAGTATGCGAATTTCAGAGACCTTTCGTTCCATTACAAGAAGCCATTCAGCAGACTGTTAGACCTCTTCAGGCACTGGGAATACGACCGGGTTAGCTCAATTGAAATATTTATAGTCTTTTTTGTTCTCTAATATGTTAGCCATTAAAATAGGAAGTGACGAAAGCTTTAAATATACATTAAAACAAACAACACAACAAACAGCCTTGAGTTCTACGGTTGAATTAAAGTCTTTCCATGCGACAGCTTGAGGGAATACCAAACTCTAACGATTTTATCACAAGATTTCAAATACAATTTATTCATGCACAAATTCAGTTAACACGTTATATTAAAATGGCCGCCACTTAAAGCTTTATTTTAACTCAAGGCAGCCCTTCAATAATCATGCCTGTCAGTTAACTCTAATCACAAACATTAAATGGGCATCTTTAATTCATCTTGATGGCGGTTCTTCCGAGACCATTGCTGTAATCTTCCAAATTAAGATTTTCTGTGTTGATAGAAATCCATTCATATTAGACAGACCTTGTCCATGGCGAATTAATGACAACATTTAGTCATCTGTTTTTAAGAAAATGATCAACCTTGTTAAGGGCACCGGGACAAAGCTTCAATATTTCAAGTAACGGAATGAACAATTATGTCTCACTGACCTATTTCTTATCGTTGGATAGATACATACAGTAAATGAAGTGAAATGGGGTTTAACGTCCGACTTTTCTAATATATCTGGGCTAATGAAGACATGATATGTGCCATATGGCTGGGCAGAAACCAGTACCGCGTACTCTCTTTTCTAATTCCATCTGTAATGAGTTCTTTTACGTACACGCCAACGTGGACACAGGACCTCGTTTTTTGTACCATCCGAACGACTAGACGCCCTGGAAAAGAAGCGAAACAAAGCTTACATATATATTAAATATTTGATAATAGGAACTTGGTTTGACTAAGACAAGAGAAACTTTATGACATTTCTGTTGTGATATTTACACTTTGTGGTAACTTCCCGTCTTCATTAACCCAATTGAAGGAGAACAGTAGGACGTTAAACTCCATTACATTTGTGGTAACTTTAAAATTATACATTCCTTATCTGGATTACCTTTGGACGAAACGCTAAGACGATTTAGTGCGATAAGGAAGAGCAAAACTCTTAAGATTAGAATCTTGAAACTTGAAGAGTAAGTACTCCTTAAATTTGTCATATTGTCTTAGAAGGGGATTGCGATCACAGATTAGCTCCTTGGGTAATCTATAGATAAACTCTATTGTTTATTATGGCTATTCACGTGGTGTTTACCTGTTGTTGGTGTGTATACTGTGATCAGTGACTATTTACAGTAAACCTACATAACCACTTTACTAATGATAATCTCAAAATCTCTAAAAGCGACTTCTGTGTCTGGCATTGTATGTTCAATATACATGTATATCAGCAGGATATCATAGAAAAAATCAATTTAAAAACACGTATACAGCAATAGGGTAGTACTGTTAGTCCAGGCTTCTAGGAGTCAACCGATCCCCCGGCCCGAAAATTCTTAATCTGCCCCTGGACTGATATGATTCCAGCGCGTCGGAAGTTCGGAGATATACTGTAAATTTAGGCATCATGGGGTCAACCGACACCTCGGTCCGAAAATTCTTAATCTGGTTCTGGACTGATATGACTCCAGCGCGTTGGAAGTTCGGAATTGTGAATATCTTAAGTTCGTGTTCTAGTTAAATCCCACATCCTGGCAATTCGCAAACTGTCCAACTGACATGACCTACGATAGTAATGATATGTGAACATGACAGAAAGAATGTGGAATAACGAAAGTGTAAAATCGATGTTCTTCACTGCTCTTCATATCAATGGAAACAATGCGAATATTAATATTGTTATTAATTATTGATGGACCGGGATGTATTGAACCAAGTCAACACTCTGTTGTAAGGACCAGAGATTGTCATTGAAATATGACACCCGGTGATTTCAAGTCTGTTAATTATTAAAGCTTGTATGAACATCGATTTTCATATTTCTATTAACACCACAGGCTGTTTCTATAGTATTGTTTCATTCTCTTGTTAGCCCCAGAACACCTTCAAATAGATTCATATAACACATGTTGGAATTGTTAACTTATTTATTTGGGATGCATTATGATATGATATCATAGCAATCTGCAGTATTATTTAGCTTTATAAATGAATTACGTCTAATTTAAGATATTTGGATATATTATGATATGTAGTAACAATAACATAAATTCTACACGAATTTAAAATGTATATAATCATTTATTTCTGGGGGGTTAGATGGCTGAATGGTTAGCACGTGCGCGCTGTATCATACGGTCTGTCAGTGAATCAACTGGCGTGGTTTCGGTACATGACAGGTAGTAGAGTCGCATGTCCAACCCCGTTGATTTTCTTCGGGTCCTCCGGTTTTATCCCACTGCTAAAGACCCCTACGCACAAGCGAATTATGGAAATAAAATTGAAACATATGTTAGTCCCGAAATAACCTAGTATGTGTGGAGTGGACGTTAAACCCCATTTCTCTCTCTCATATATTTCTGCAATATTATTTGACTTTATAATGAAAAATATCACATTTTGGTGTTTAAATTTATAAATAAAAAAACATCTACTATTAGGGTGTGTACCTTTAGGATCACCTGTTTAGATGTTGATCAAAACATAAAATTTAAGGAAATCGACGCTTTTATTTTTTATTTATCAATATACACCATTTTTCTAATTTAAAGGGAGGGTTTAATTTTCATGTATTCTATTTTATTCATATATATCCAGCAGAACTTTTCATTTTAAATTTAAAAGGAATTTTGCAATTTTCACGTATTCTAGAACGCCGTTGATTTTGTCTACTCTATATAGCACTTGTATATATAACGTCAGATATTTACATTGGTTTGTTGTTTGGTTGTTGTATTTCTGAGTGTCGAGGTCAACCATCGATCTGCCTACACTACCTGGTGGTATAATAGATTTTAACAGAACCTCGTGGTGATATAATATTGATT